GTCTTCGCGGTGGAGGTGAGACTGGGGGAGGAAGGGGCGGAGCCTGGTCAGGCCCGAGGGGCGGGGTCGCAAGCGATCGGTGCTCCGCCTTTTACCTTCCCTCCGGCCTCGCGCGTAGGGTCCCTGGTGTTGGCGTCCGGTGTCAGAGACGCCCGGCGTGCCCCCACCGCGCCCAGCGACCCCTCCCACGTCCAGGGCCCGCACCGAGGGTCGCACAGCGGAGAGGCTGGGGGAGGGGGTGCCCAAAGGGACCCCGGGAGACGTGGTGCACTCAGCATCTCCCCCGGGGAGAGGGCCCTTCTGGTTTGTCATTTTGCTGCTCTGAGGTTCAGCAGAGGGCTTTAGAAGGAGCAGGACCATGTATAATGATGTATAAAGGAGGGAATGGACCCTACTTCTCAGGCCTGGCCTGGGGAGAACCGAAGGCACAGGTGCATCCTCGCTGTGCACCCAGTGGTGCTCCTGGAGCTCTTTTCGGCAGGGGCAGTGGGCCATGGTCATTCTGCAGCAGCAGTACTTCCCCGCTGACTTGGTCTTCTTGATCCAGGGCTGTAGTTTTTCTTTGGCTTCTTAAGCTTCTCTTGTCCAGACCATAAACAAAACACCCCCAATCAATTCCCTATTAATCACACACCTGGTCGGTTTGCAAAGAAAGGGGAGAAAGGAGAGCCACAGGCTCCCTTCCTGGCATCACCTGCGGGCTCCTCACGCCTTCGTGGTCCCTTCATGCTTGAGCCCTTTCAACCCAGGGGACCTGTCTACAGCTTTGCAGCTTCAGAAATAGCCAGGATCCCCGCCTTCCAGCTCAGCGGCAGAGACCCTCCACAACCCTTCTACCCTCCCCAGAGACAGGACAGTTTTGACAAGGGCTGGTCATAAGAACAAAACAACTCACAGGTGTCACCCTAATGAGATTACACCCAAACCCAGACACTGCCAGGTGATCATGACGTTTGCATCACTAAGAAGTGGAGAAGCTTCCAGGTTTGGGAGACTCCTTGAGGTGACAGATCTGAGTCTGGCAAACACTGAATGGCTGAACAAATGTTAACCTTTCACAACAGGAAGAAGCTTGCTCTGGAAATTGCTTTCATTCATGGCCTTAGCATTTAAACAGGCCTCTGCTCTCCCTCCCTTGACAGACAGATGGTGTTTCAGATTTATGGTGCCCTCATGGTGTCTGCCACCTGGTAGTCCTGGAGATGAAGGGTTGCTGTTCTTTCTAGAAGTCCACAGAGTGAGCACTTGGTCCTTTGTGCGGCTAGAGGATTTGAGGCTGCTGCTTCAGGAAATTTGTTCTTTTCCAACAATGAAGTTATTCTGGTTCACTGGGAGAAACCACTACAAAAACATTAAAAAAAAAAAAAGAAGAAGAATGATGAAACTGAGGCAGAAAATGACAGGTGTGTGATTAGTACCATGTCCATGGTGAGGAAACCTCCCAGCTTGAATGGAATTGTACACATCCTGAGTCCTCCATTGACAGCTTCTGTTGTTCTATCTCTGAGGTGAGAGTGATGGTCTTAAATCATTGCCTCATAAGATATGATAAATGTTCCAAGAAAAAAAGTGGCATTGTCAGCTTAAGATAAAATACAACCACGAAATCCCATTTGGGGCTTCTAGGAGGCTGTTGCTGGGCTTCACCTTACGCTTGGAAGTTTCTAAACAGTAGATTCTGTGCTAGGAGCCAAAGGACACCGGTGTACCACTCACTCACTGGAAGATGATGAATAAGAGACTGAAGTCCCGAGATTGTTAACTATGCACGGTGACTGGACACTGGGCTCCTCCTGGGGAGAGAGTTAGGAGCCCCAACTGGACTATGGCCCGGAGCTGCCCTGCAGTGCTGTCCACTGTGGCTCCTGCTCCATGAGTGATTACAGAAAACCCTGTAGAGGAGACATCTGAGCAAAGGGGGGGAAACAGAAATCCATCAACTCCAGACCAGTGAGTGTGATTTGAGCCCAGGGAGATGTCTAAATAAATGATTAGGTCATTGGTTTCTCCGCAGGGCTCAGCTCTGGGTGGCACCCCGTGGGAGGCGGGGAGGGTTGTGCGTGGGGGCGAGCCGCAGTGAAGAGCTCTGGTACCGCCTGTGCCTGTGCCCACTGGATAGCTCGCCAAGTGCCCAGTACATGCCTCATCTGGGCACCTTATTGTCAGTGTCCTGGATGAATACACATGCTCCTGTCTCAGACCTACAGCCAGGAGGAAGAGGGGAGACCAGATCACAGAATCAGGGTTCAAACGGGCTCAGGGGGTCAGGGTGGCAGCCAGATGAATGCTGTTGACATAACGGGATGCATAAAAATGGTCTTTATGAACCTGACCACAAAGCAGTGTAAAACCAAAAACCTGGTCATGCCCGGCCGGGCGTGGCTCAGCGGTTGAGCGTCGACCTAGGATCCAGGCGATCGGGGTTCGATTCCCGGTCAGGGCACATGCCCGGGTTGCGGGCTCAATCAATGACTCTCCTCATTGATGTTTCTATCTCTCTCTCTCTCCCTCTCCTTTCCTCTCTCTGAAATCAATAAAGATATATTTTAAAACAAAACAAAACAAACCTGGTCAACAGCATGCCCTTGCCTGAGGAAATGCCAGCGCAACTCCAAACTCAGCGCCAGGCATGAGGACAAGACACTGGGAGGGCCTCCAAGCTTTCTGACTCCAATCTCTTCCCTACCCTGACCCTCCTGCCTCCCTCTCCCAAAGACCCTTTGATTGATTGATTAGGGCCAACTGGATAACCCAGGCCTACCTCCCTGCCTCAACATCCTTAACATAATCTCATCTGCCAAGTCCCTTGTGCTGGGTGAGATCACACTAATAGGTTCCAGGACCAGGATGTGGCATCTTGGGGGCATTATTCTGCCCAGGACACTCAGCATGGCAGAGAATACAGCTGTTAGAGGAACCAGTTTGGCTTCGGGTTCCTCTCCCAGATCCAAGTGGTTAACCTCCCATAACTCGGTCAGCACTAAGCCAGAGCCAGGATGCTGACCCTGGTAAGTGTGGGGGTAGTTTGATGTCCCTTTGTCACCTGTAGCGTTGTGTGCCCAGCACTGTGGTTTTTCTCTGTCCTCGCCTGCATTTGGTAGTGTGACTAGTTTTTACCATAGCTACTCTGATAGGTGTGTAGATGAAATAGAGGTTCTCGCAGTCCTGCAAGGCCTTGACAACCTCTGGGCTGGGGGTGGGTTACAGAAGTGGTTCGGGATCTGAAGCTGGCAGGGAGAATTCGGGGCTGCTACAGAAGGACCTGCATTTGGGCTGTGAGGCAGGTTCTGGCTCAGAGAATATTGGTGAAGTAGAAGATAATGTCAGGAGAGTGGTCATTCAAACTAGACATGGATTGAAAAGAGGGGACAGCCTGAAGGCAAGTTTAAAAAGTGTTTTCTGGAGAAGCAAAGGGGGAGGAGGGAGCCAAGGGACATGTTGGGAAGGGGGTGGAGCAGAGGACACAGCTGTGTGGATCTGTGTACCCAGAGTCCCGGGATGGGTGGGTGGGGAGGAGGAGAGATGCCCTAAAGAACCTCTGCGCCTGTCTGTCCGGCCATCCCAGTTTTCTGAATCCAAGAACCCATTGTTCCAGCTGCTATTGTTACCCCAACCTGGGGGGCTCATGGCAAGCACAATAAAACAGTAATAAAACGGTGGTTACTCTATGCCTGTTTCATTTTGCCAAAGAGGTTACTGGAACACTTAATTCTTAGTGGTGAAGCTAAATAACAATATGAATAATGGTCTTTGTTTGTAAAGAGTTTTACAATTCACATTAGCAAATTCATTCTCTGAGCAGCCCTGGGAAGTAGGTTGGTAAGTGCTGATGTGCTTTCTTACAGGTTCAGAGGTGGTGGCTTCCTGAAAATCCCGGATAATTTGGGGCAGAGCCTGGGCACAAACTCAGCCTCTCCAAGTCCCAGACCAGTGTTCCCCCAGTGCCCCAGGCTGGTGGTGGGAATGTGGCATGGGGACTCTGGGGACATGGCCCCACTGGGTCATGGGAGTCCATGGGAGCTCAGACGCCGCAGCCTCGCCCAGTTTGGCAGCTCCCAGAGAAAACTGTCATGTTTTCCCACTTTCTTAGCTGGACTAGACCTTTGATCTCCCCCACTGGCAGCTTCACCACATTAATCCTTCTTGACCTGTTTTCATCTCCTGTGTACTTTCTCTTGCACCTTAAACCCCCTTATGAAAACCA